TAGGGCTGGGGGTGGGGCAAAATGTGGATACTGGAGGACAGCAGATATTCTGGGGGTGGGGGATGGCAAGTCCCTAAGGTGACCTCAGAGCAGTCTGGACAGAACAGGGTCCTGAGCTCCTGGGGCTGCTTTGCCTACAACTTGCACAGTGTTGTGTGATTGTCCTCTGAGACTTTATCCCATTGAAACAGCAGGCAGTTAACCCATCCCTTTCAGAGTGACCCAGAAGAGGAGCCAGGTCAGGCACTGGGCAAGGAAGGTGTAAGTTGCCACATAAGGCTGTCTGCAGAACAGGGGAGCTGCCTTCTGGTCCACAGTGCACTTTGTTGTTATTGTTGTTAGGTGCCATCAAGTCAGCATCGACTCATAGCGACCTTAAGCACAGCAGAACTAAACAATGTCCGATCCTGGGCCAACCTCACTACTGTTGCCACACTTGAGTCCATCAATGCTGCCACCTGGCCAATCCATCTCATTGGGGGTCTTCCTCTTTTTCTCTGACCCTCCATCTTACCAAGCATGATATCCTTCTCCAGAGACTGTTCCCTCCTGACAATATATCCAAAGTATGAGAGATGAAGTTTGGCCATCTTGGCCTCTAAGGAGCACTCTGGCTGCACTTCTTCCAAAACAGATCTATTGGTACTTTTGTCAGCCCATGGCAATTTTAGTATTCTCCTCCAACACCATAATTCAAAGGCATCAATTCTTCTACGGTCTTCCTTATTCACTGTCCAGCTTTCGCATCCATATGAGGTTATTGAAAACACCATGGCCTGGGTCAGGCGCACCTTAGTCCTCAAGCTGACATCTTTGCTCTTCAACACTTTAAAAAGTTCCTGTGCAGCAGATTTGCCTAATGCAATACGTCGTCTGATCTCTTGACTGCTGCTTCCACGAGTGTTGATAGTTGATCCAAGAAGAATGAAGTCCTTGACAACTTCAATCTTTTCTCCATTGATAAGAATGTTGTTTATTGGTCCAGTGGTGAGGATTTTTGTTTTCTTGACATTGAGATGTAATCCATATCGAAGGCTGTGCTCTTTGATCTTCATCAGTAAATGTTTTAAGTCCTCTTCACTTTCAGCAAGCAAGGTTGTACCATCTGCATATCGCAGGTTATTAATGAGTCTTCCTCCAATCCTGATGCCATGTTTTTGTTCATAGAACCCTGTTTCTCAGATTATTTGCTCAGCATACAGGTTGAATAAGTATGGTGAAAGCATACAACCTTGTCTCACACCTTTCTTAATTTTAAAACATTCAGTATTCCCATGTTCTGTTCGAACAACTGCTTCTTGGTCCAGGTACAGATTCCTCATGAGTACAATTAAGTGTTCTGGAATACTCATACTTTGCAATGTTGTCCATTACTTGTCATGATCCACACAATCAAAGGCCTTTGCATAGTGCACTGGAGCACGCATATTATTGTCAGGACCAGCAAGGTGGTGACCCTGCCTGCTTCTCCCTCAGACCCCTCCCAATTTGGCCAAAGAGCCTTCCAAGCCAAGAATGGTGATGATCAGCCAACATGGCTGCTTCAAGTCTCCCGTTATCTGTTCTCCCAGGAGTAAATCTTTACAGAGGATATAGCAGGGACTGTGGCTGCTGAGTTTGAAATGCTGACCTTGTGGGTAGCTGTGCTCATCCTACAGCACCACACCAGGACTCCTCTTAGGCGTATACATGGTGTGGCACTGTAGGATAAGCACTAGACGGCTAACCACACAGATGGAAGTTCAAATTCATCAGCCGCTCCTTGGAAACCCTATACAGGGTCATTACAACAACTTCCCTCAATGTCTAACCACCTAAGGGGGATGGTCCCCGCAAGCACCATCCTGGGTCCTCACATTCCGCTCTGCTCAAACACAACTCGCTGTCTTCCACAACCTGCTCCTCCACTTCTGTTCCTCAGGCACCTGGTGGGACACAGAGGGGGGAACACCCCAGGTCCTCACCCTGTGCTGGGCAGTCCCACACCGTCCTCCCTTCTAGGTTCCTCCTCACACCCAACTTTGCCAGCGCCAGCGTATCACTCCCCACCCCCACTCACCCCACCCCGCACCCTTTCATCCGGGTCGCAAAATGCTCGATCCGAGTCCGCGCTCTGATCCACTCTGGAGCTGCGGACCCTGTTGGAATTCGTGGCTATCGTCATGCTTGGCCCAGGCGGAGCTGCCACGCTGTGTTTGGTGAAGCACTAGCAGTACATTGGCTGGCGGGATCATGGGGTCTGATCTGATCCTGTCAGCGTCCTAGCTTTCCTGGACGAGGTGAACCTGGTCTAGAACACGCCGATGATTGGGTCCAAAGGTCTCTCACTACAGTGCAGCCACAGGCGGGAACCACCGGATGTGGTTTGGGACGACCAGGTGTTGGCGGAGCCTGGTCCTATGAAATACGCCACAGGCAGCCTGGTTCGTTCCCACAGCGTTGGTATCAGCTGCCTGGGCACCATAATCCTGATTGACATCCTGGGGACGTCATCCATAGTCACGGTGAGCGGGCTCCTCCCTTCCTGTTGCCCCTCCCTTCCCTGCCCCCAGGCCTTACGTCATTCGACTCCGCCTACCCATGACCACGCCCCTCCCGGCAGCGGTCTCCCAGTGGCCGCGCCTTCCTAAGGTCCCGCCACATCCAGCCTTGTCCCCAGCCCTCCGGGTAGTCCACTTTTTCTGTGATCTTGCCCGCCTACCTCGTGGCCCCTCCTCTCCAGTGGCCCCGCCCCTCCCGGAGCCTTCCATGCTGTAACCCTCCTCCCTGAGCGCCACCCCCCCAGGTATGACTGCGACGATCTGTCGTGCGGTGGCAATGCTCAAAGCTAGTGCAAACCGAGGCGCAATACAAATTCTTGCACTTTGTGCTGCAGGGGTACATCCAGGGGAGCAGCTGCACCTAAAGTGAGCAGAGCAGGATCCGGTGGGAGCAGGGCCTGCGCGGGCTTCGTCTTGGTAACCTGCGCCCGCAACTCGTAGCGCGAGGCAACAAAGGAATGTGATTGTCTGAAAGTGGGCGCAGGGCTAGCCAACACTACCGCAGCTTCTAATCCTTGGCGTGAGTGGGGCGCTGTTGGAGGCCTGGGAGCCGTGCCGGCGCCCCTCGCCTCCCTCAGCACCCAGGAGATACCAGGCTTGTGTTCTGCTGGGAACCGCGGACTCTGGCCTTCCCCAAGGGGCTCACACATAGTGTGAAGACTTTCCTCCCTACTCATGGAGGGGACCCGAGCTTGCCCCTCAGACTCCACCCCAAGCAGGGCTGGATCCCAGAAATGAGAGGGGCGTCCAGCACCCTGAAAGGGTGGAGGAGGGGGAGGCAGGGCTGTGGTGTCAGGGTGAGCGAACACCGGAGACCACTTCGCGGTTGGGTGACCATGCAGAGCCCTGTGCACGAATGTGTGCCCGTCTGTGTCTACATGAGTGACCAGTGACACGAATGACCAGTTTTGACTCAGACGTCCGTGTGCCCCGCCTCCTTCATCCCACAGCCCTCCTTCCCCCCTCCCCCCACGTCAGAGGTCTAGTACACTCTTAGGCCGGGCTTAGTCCCTGTGTGTTCAGAGCCACTCAAGACAGGCATGTCACTCAGTCACATGGTAACAAGTGGTTATGGAGTGAGGAATGTGTAGGGCTCATGTGAGTGCACCTGTCTGTGACGAGGCTGTGGCCCATGTGCATGACTGTTCATGACAGACGTGATGTCACTGGTGGGGTGACCTAGGCAGCCCCTCACAAACCAGCCATGCATGGTACATAGTGGCTGCATGGTGTCATAAGTAAAGTACTGTGCCCTCTTAGCACTGTTTAGGCCTGGGCTCCTTGCCTATCATGGCTGGAGACCCAGCTGGTTGGACCAGGAAGTGGATAGGCTCTGGGGTGAGAAGACTGGGACCTGCCTGAACCAGAACCGGCCTGGCTTCTCTTCTCTGCCCATGCCCACCTGGTGTGACCGGATTCCTGGGGCTGCAAGCAGGGGGGTGGATGCCTGCCCTATTCACCCTGCCCTTAGAACCATGTATTTCTCTGTTCACTAGTCATGCCTGACTCAGGAGGGCCCTGGGGTTCTGTGTGGCCCCGTGGCTCTGTGGGTGTTCACCACCCCCTCCCCCCCACCCCAGGGCCTACTGGTCAGCACCACCTACCCCATTGTGTACTCAGACACAGCTCCCAGGGAGGCTCACAAGTGTTCTGGGGCTTGGCTCAGTTTGGGTGGTATTGAGTGGGGAAGGGTCACTCTCAGTCTCCCAGGCTGTAAACCAGGGCAAAGGGCAAGGTCCCACACTGTTCCCCATCCCCACCTTGGTTGCTCCCTGGCACTCCTACTTCCTGGGAAGGTGCCCCACTGCTGGAAACAGCCAAGTTAGGAACTGTACTTCTGAGACTTCCAGGAGCCTGGAGGGCATGGAGTTAGATCTCCAGACTTTGTGCCCACTCCCAGGGCCTGCTGGGAGGCCAATCCTGAGGGAAGTCCTCTGGAGGGAGCTGGGGTAGGGGTTCATGGACCATGGACATGAGACAGGGCCACTGCAGGAAGGAGTGATGACCACTGACCAAACTGGATACAAAATAATTTATTCTAGAAATGTTCATGAAGCTGGAGGTCCACTTTCTGCTTTGTCAGAGGGGCCAGAGGGCAGGATGAGTACCAGGAAGGGACCAGCCCTGCCTGGAAAGAATCTAGGAAAGGATTTCAGGTGAAATGTTAGAATCACAGGAAGGATGAACCCACTCCTGCTCGAAGTTCACACTGTACAGGAAGGGATGGGCCTCTTGGGTGGCCTTCTTGGGTCTCCCTTTCCCCGTTGGCATGATGGAATTAGAAGTGTGGTTCTGGGGCCATAGGAGCCAGAGATTTTGGGAGGCTTTGGGCACCCATTATCTACACAGTGAGTTCTTGGCCTAGAAGGGGTCCTCACTGACATTTGGGGCTCCTCTAGACCCCACCTGTTGGTGTATACCCATACACAGAGGTTTGGGGTTACTGTGACATAGGCAGTCCTAGTTGTCAGCCAGGGGGTTCAAAGGGAAGCATGGTGGCAGTGGTGGTGGCGGCAACAGGGGGTCGGGGGAAGCAACGCAGGTTCCCAGTCTTCAGAGCACATTGCACTGGCCAGAGCACCACACAGAAGAGCACCAGCAACAGCGTTGAGACCAGAGCCACTCGCCTCCAGTCCTTGCAGCTTGCCCAACAGCGGGCCAGACGGCCCCGGCGGCGCACAGGCTCTGGGGGAGATGAGGGTGGTTCAGGCTCAGGCGGCTTTCTCAGGCCCACGTCCACGCACACGAAACCAGGTGAAGCATGACCAGTTGTGGAAGGTGGAGGGCAGCAGCAGAGCTTGGTACCTTCCAGCCACACGGGTTCCTCCCGCCTCAGGTGGGCTGGCATCTTGGCCAGCAGCTGGTGGCTGGTGCGTAGTGCAGGGGCCCCATCAGGGGGCACGGCTGTAGGTTGCCGGCAGAATGGGCAGGGCACAGCCTCGTCGCCAGTGCGGCTCACCGGCTGGGCAGCCGCCAACCTTGCCAGGCACTCCAGGCAGAAGACGTGTGTGCAGGAGAGCTCCTTGGGTGTCTTGAAGATGTTGTCATAGCCAGAGAAGCAGATGGAGCACTCCAGTGGCGAGGCTACCTTCTCAGAGCCTGGGGTGCCAGGGGACCTGGGGTTGCTGGCGGAGCTGGGGGACCTGGGGTTGCTGGAGGAGCTAGGGGACCTGGGGTTGCTGGCGCAGCGGGGGGACCTGGGGTTGCTGGCGGAACTGGGGGACCTTGGGTTGCTGGTGGAGCTGGGGGACCTGGGGTTGCTCATGGAGCTGGGGGACCTGGGGTTACTGGCGGAGCTGGGGGACCTGGGGCTGCTGGCAGAGTGGGGAGTATTGGGCACCCTTGTCGTGGGGCTGTTCCAATTGGGGGGTGGAACAGCTGTGTGCCATACTTGCTGGTCTGAGGACATGGTTCCAAGCTGTGGGACGAAAGAGACCTTGTGAGGCTTTAGGCTGCCCTTTTCCAAGAGACCAGTCTATCCTTCCCCCTCCCTCTAGCTCTCCCTGTTAGCTGCTCCAGCCCCCAGGATCCCAGGGAAGGCCACTGCCCAGTCTATTGTCCCTCCACCCTCCACATTCCACATCCAATTCTCATCCCCCTGCGCCAGGCCTGGTCTCACCACCACCACCCCTGCCCCCGGGCAGCCATGGTACCAGGCACAGGTAACAGTGGAGGTGACTGAAGCCCCACACTGCTTACTGTTAGTGCCCAGGTCCTGCAGGGCTGATGTACTGATGTTCGTGTCACTCTAGGGACGGTACTGCTTAGAATGTAGGCAACACAACTAGGGTCACTGGCTAAGAGACCACTGCACTCTTGGAAGGAGAGGTGGGTTTGAGTGTGACACCAGCCTGTCCAGACAGTGACTGATCCCTGATTAGCTGGCAGTGGGTAAGGAGGTCAAGGTTGGGAGTTAAGGCCTGGGACAGAGTCTGGGCCTGTGGGGTCAGAAATTGGGGATCTAAGCCTAGGAGTTGGAGCATGGGTCAAGTCCTCCTGACTGAGTGACATCAGGGCCTGAGGGGGTAGGCAGAGGCCAGTGGCCCTCATAGGTTTGTGTCCCATCGTTGATTGGAACCTGCTGGGCCAGCTTGTCAGGCTGGTGACCAGGGTTCAGTACCAGTGAGGTGCTGGGATATGAATGTGCCCTGGCCATTCTCTCTAGGAACTAAGGAAGGAAGTAGGATCCCCAGAGACTCCCCATTCCCAGCTAGAGTTGTTTAGATGTCCAAGTAGATGGTCACTATTGCTGACCAGGGGCTTGGTGGGAGCCTCCTCTGGACCCCAGCCACAGTCCTGTCTTTCCACCCCCCATAGTTCTTGGATGATGAGGGTTGCATGGTCCTGAATGGATGAGGGGCAGGTGAGGTGACTCACCTATCACCTTCTGATGGACATGGTCAGCAGGATCCTGGGAAACCCTGGAGCTCAGGAGGCTGTCCTAGACTGGCCTTATCAACCCAGCTGGAACCCAAAGGTCTAATTGGGTGACCCTTTCCCACTAGCTCTGCAGCTGCTGCCCTAACTCTGACCCCAGGTAGCCAGGTAGTGATGACATTCGGTGACTGGCCAGGAAAGCTCGGGAGCTGCACCTTTGTCATCGTCCACCTGCTGTGACTCATGATGACATCATGATGAAGCCACAGGTGCCCCTGGAATGAGCTCATGAACATCACGCGCCTGGTCATGGCAGTTGGGTAGGTGGGCATCGGGCCAAGCAGTGGCTTCGGCAGATGGGGTTGTGCCTGTTGCATCCCACATAGCCCCTCCATGGGGGCCCCACCCGAGCTCTGGGTATAGGTGAAGGGTGAGAGCTGCTGCGTGGGTCTTACCTGGTGGCCAGGCATCAGCAGGGCCTGGGCATGATCCTCTCCGATGGCCGCAGTGGGCCTGGCTCCTGAGCCTTCCGACGTACTCACTGCTCCCTCCTTTGGACCAGTTGGTTCCACCTGGCAGTTGTCCCTCCTTGGCCAGCCACCAACAACTGTCTGGCTGACTGGTTCTGGCAGGTGTGGTCCCTGAACAGTTGGGGCCGTGGAGTGGTAGGCAATAAATCCCAGATATGTGGAGCTTCGGGGTGGCGGGCAGTATCTTCCAAGTGTATGAAGCTTCGGTGTGGCAGGCAGGAGTGTGTGCTCTGGGCGTGGGCTCCCTGTCCCTCTGCAGGTGTATTTATACCCTCGAGTCACCACTGGCCAGGGGTGTGGCCTGGGATTGGCTGACTACCTCCTCTCCTTGGCAGGCTGGGCTGGGCGGGGAGTTGGGTGACAGAGGTCACAGCCAGAGCAAGTCTGTGCTGGGAGTAGATGTTTAGACAAAGTGGCCCCCCTGGCCTCCTAGGATACTAGCCAAGCAGCCCTCCAATCCTCTCATACCTTGTCATCAAGGTCCTTGTTGAGGACAGATCTCTGAGATGGGCCTCCTGGAAGGGGCTGCCACATCCTTCAGAGAGCCCCTAATCTTACACTTAGAGTCTCACACTAGGTTGTCTCCCCTGCGTGCGCTCCTGACTTGTCCAACCCCTCACTTGAACACACACACATGCATGCTGCTATCTTGGCCCCCACCTTGGCCTGCAGCCCTTAGGGGAGGAAATGCTGATTTGGGGTCCAGGTAGTGGGGGTTGGGCAGGGGCCCCCTGAGGGGTGCGGTTAGGCTGTGCGGCTGGCATCACATGAGTAGGCTGGGGAGGTGCCCTGGATAAGCCGGGCAGGGGTTTGGGGGAGATGTGGTGCAGGGCGTGGCCAGGGAGTGAGGGGGTGGGGAGTGGGCGGGGATGGGGCTGAGAGGCGTGGTGGCTCGGGCTCTCTCCTAGGCGCCTAGCCCCTCCCCTCTTCCGTTGTTGTAACTTACCTTCTCACCTCCAGCCCCACCCCTGACCTCACAGCCGACGACGTAGCCTTTCAATGTCACTTCCAAGGCCAAACACCCTGGATGTGGGTGACTTCAGGGGCTGAGGGAGCACGACCCTCATCTGTGAGAGTAGGGAAAGTGGTACAGGAGAGAGGGTGGGAGTGCTCCTGCCTTCTCATGAGAGGAGGGGGCTCAGAGAGGGACTGGAGGAGGGAGATGGGAGCCAAATTGGGGGTCGGGGCTCAGAGAGGGGCTGGAAGAAGGAGGCGGGGCCCTGAGAGGGGCAGTGGGCTGGCTGAGGGGCTGACTGAGCTCCAGTACTGTTCTCTTTCCATGGCTCAGGGTCACCTGCTCCTCCAGGAAGTGTGTGAGAACACTCTCCCTGAGGGTTGCCGGGAATGTCTGGGCTCTGAAGTCATGCTGAGCCTCGGTGGACAGTCAGTGGCCCGAGGGCACAGGTGACTGGACGTTTGTCAGTCCATGGACTCCACGGGTGGTGCCAGGTGTCACTTACTGAGGAGGCAGGGTCCAGACCTGGAGGGGGTCCCCAATAATGAGGGGTGGGAGTGGAGAAAGTGGTGGCCTGGCACCCACCCTACCAGGTCACCTCCCATGCTGGCCCTGTGCAGAGAAGTGACAGGATGAGCTATGCTGGTTGGAGCATGCAAATTGATTGTGTACATTCTTCTGTGTGAATGGGTAAGGTGTGTTCACCAACAGGTGAGCGTGGGTGAGTGTGCAAGCATGCATGTGTCTGCTTTTGTGAGGATGTGAGTGTCAGGTGTATGCCTACCTGTGTGAGGGGAGTGCACACAGGGCCATGTCTGCATGCACCATGTATGTCTGCCTGTAACCTCAACCTTAGCCCCTGCACTGGAAGGAGAGACCGAGGCCCTCAAGGGGACCCTACTGCACCCCAGACATGACTTTTAAAGGATGAATTTTAAACCTGAGCCCTAAAGCCAGTTGTAAGTCCTGGTGCCTTTAGTGGGGTGAACAGAGGGGCGGGTGGTGTCTCTCACAAGAGACATGCTCCCTGTGACCCTTTGGACAAGATATTCCCCAAATTGGACAGAACGGCCTTAGGCCCGTGAGACTCCCTGGAAATATGAGATATGTAACCAGTGTGGGGAGAGGCCCTCTAGGCCCAGGTCATCTCCCAGCACCTACTATCTGTTGATAAGGGGCTGGGGGTGTCCGAGTAGGGGAGACTGGGTACTGCCAGACCTGACATGGTGGTTCACTTAGATGGTCTCAGTGTTGAGAGCAGCATCTGGCTGCACTGGCTCCAGGGGGCCTATCCATTGGTCCAGCCACACAGGAGGAGTGGGGCAGGCTCCCCGGGGAGGTGGGGGTAGGACAACGGCTGGGCCAAAGCAGGTGGACTCTAGAAGATGACTGTGTCCTTGGGTCTAAACTTTGCTTCAACCTCCGGGCCTTGGCACCTGATAGGCTTAGCAACCACCCTTAGAGCATGATGCCTAGTGGGACTTGAGCCAGCACTATCCCTGCCCACACTCAGCAGTGAGAGTCAGGTTCCCAAAGGTCAGCCTGGTGGCGTTTCCTCTGAGTCCACTACCTGCTTGTCTGCACCCTGACCTTGCTATCGCTAGTGGGCTCTGGTGCCCCAGGCAGCCCTGGCTAGGACCCCTGTCCTGACCTCACCCTGCTCTGTCCACCCACCTCCTCTTGTCCACCTCTCCTGAACGTTGCTGCAGATACATTTTTGTCACTGACCAGCTTGTGCTCTGTGGGTGTCTCAGCATCTCTCCAGATGGACTGAGGAGCCTAGTAGATGCCATAAAATGAATGAGTGAATGAATGAATGACTGAACCCACCTCCCACAATGTGCTCACACACTGGGAGCTAGCACCCCAGAGTCTTTGAGAGTGGCTGACAGTGTGGTGGGGGGAGGATCAAGAGGGAGCCATGTGCTCCCACCTATCTGCTTTGGCCTGAGCTACTGACCCCATGATGGCCCTGTCTGACCTTTGGTTAGGATCTGAGATCTGGAGTCCAGGTGAAGAGGTGGGTGAAGGGGTCAGGATGGAGAGAAATCTGGGAGCGCTACTTAGAGATGTCCTGGGTAAAAACCTCTTGTGCAAAAAAAGACAAAAACAAACACAAAAAACAACCTCTTCTGTAGTAGAAGAGGGGTCTAACTCAGAATGTGCTGCCCATCACTCAAGCCCCACCAAAAGTGTCCTGCACACCACTGCTCCACCCATCACCTAAGCTATATCCACCTACAGTCCCACGCACCTTAGATGTGCCATCTATGATGCTCCATCTGCTCCACAGATGCCCCACTTACCCACCACTATTGTTGTTACATGCTGTCGACATGGTTCTGACATAGAGCAACCCTGTATAGGGTTTCCAAGGAGTGGCCGGTGAGCTTGAACCACCGACCTTGGGGTTCAAACCGACCTTGCAGCTGAGTGCATTAAAACACATCACCACACCAGGACTGCATTACAAAGTCTTTCTCACCTACTACCCCATTACTGGTATTTTAAATACCAGCAGGGTCACCCATGGTGGACAGGTTTCAG